CGACTAAACAACAACAACAAATATCCTTTTAATAAAAAAAGAAAGGCTTGTGCTTTTTAAGCTGTTGCATCAAAATTTTAAAATTGTAGGTAAAATGACTTAACAGTTCCTAAAGCCATCTTGAAACCTCATCTCTTTGTGAAACATTCTTTTTGTCCACAAAAATCCAAAGGCTTTGAACTAACTGGGCTCCATTCTTGTTCTCTCTGACTATGGACCTGATTTCTAATGTAATGCTTTTCTTGGATTGAAAACTTCTGCTTTCAGTCTCCGAGAAGAAAGGGGTTTTTTTAGCCACTCTCTGTAGGAAACGATGAACTGGATCAATAAGAGTAAAGTTGAAAACTTCCCTTCTGAAAGCAGGAAGTGGGCATATACTGTTGCCCTCTAAGTCTGTTCACCTTGTGTTCATGACTGGGCATCTCTGCCCTGAAGGGGGTCTGCAGCATTCTAGCCCATTATCCCCTGTCACCAGGAGATGTCTGATGGAGAATGTGACTCCAGATCACAGTAGGGACGTCAACACAATCATTGTATGTTCACGTTCTTGCCTGAGCAAAGAAACAAGGCCACCGTGGGATGCCTTCTGGAAGAAAGTGCACTACGACTTTGCTGTGTGTTTTCCTCTTTGACTGAAGCTTGGGGGTATCCCAGAAAAACACTCTGGTGCTTCTGATGCTCATTTAAGACGTGGCTTTTCAAATGGCCTTTTTGTGCCCAATCATTTAGTTTTACTGGAAGCCATTGTTCTTTTGTTTTCTGCTGTTCTCGATCATCTCAGAGTGCAGGACAGGCAAAAATGGGCTCAAGCTACATACAGGAAGCGAGATTTTGGTTGAATAGCAGGAAAACGTTCCTAACTGTTAGAGCAACAACAGCGGAACCCTTTACCTTGACAGCTGTTGAGTGCTCCAATGCTAGAGTCACCAAAAGAAACTTGGACCACCCTCTGTCCGATCTGCTTTGAACTGGATTCCTGCACTGAGCAGGGGGTTGGACTCAATAGTCTTAGAGGCCCCTTCCAACTTCATTGTATGATTCTATGATAATGGATTTTTTTCTCATTGTTGAGAGTTGAAATGTATATTTATTGTTCCATTGTTATATGTGTGTTTTTTAACTGTCTTTCCCCTCCTTTTTTGTCATGAGCTACTTCTTCAGTTTGCAAAAAGCAGAACAACAGCTGATATGGAGATAATGGGGGTCCGGACCCCTGGGGCGAGACTGTCCACTCACTTTTCCACTGCTGCCGCAGGCTCCACGCTCCCTTCTTATCGCTCCAGAGCTTGTGGTGGATTACCCACTTCTGACAGGAAGCGGGATGACGTGCCTCTCTGCCGGGTCAAAGAGTGGCTAGTCCACCATATGTATATTGGGAATACGTGACATTATGTATACAAAAGGACTTATGTTAAGAAACCTATACCTTTTCCATTAGGTCTGAATGAGGCGAGCAGAACAGCTGACCTACGATATGCAATGGAGCTTGTTAAGAAATTTATGATGACAAAAGATCCAAGCTATGAAACTAGGGATGGTAAGTACGGTAATGAATTCAAGTATTTCCGATTCTTTCCACCAGGTACTCTACCTAGAATACATCCACCGAGCAGATATCCATGTGCAATCTCTGACGTCAGTTTAGAGAAAGGTCAAGTTAATAACTGGGTTAGATGGGAACAATGGTGATTGGAAGAAGAACCAAGAATCCATCACTCATTTTCCTCATGGTTGTTAGGCACCACAGTTCTAATATGCTGCAGGAATAGTCAGAACAGCTGCAAAATGTGTAGAAAACAACCAGGGGGTTATAGACTCCTCTATTTGAGGAAAGAGTGGAACGTGAGAAGCTCTTCAGCTTTATGGCCATCTTTGAAAAGTAGTACAGGAGTTCATGAACGCCTTAAGGGGGACAGGCAAGTTTACAGGCTACTGAATTCTCCACATTGAACTGAATAGATTTAACGGGTGTTTAAGGCTCATCTCTCTGAATTAGACCTGTGACTTAGTAGAAATGTTGGGCTGAAGACTGCATTTGTTCTCAAAGTGAACAGGGGCTATAAAACAATGGCCGCTTCATTTATTTATCTATTTATTTATTTATTTGATTTATTTTTATCCTGCCTTTCTCCTTGAAAAGGATCCAAGGCAGCTTACATCACTGAAAGACAATATTCGAAGCTGAAAACAAGTGACAGGAGAACCTCTTTTCCTTCTATTTTCTAAACTTTTCTTCTGGGAATGTAAATCTTTCCTTATTTCTTTCTTTTAAAAAATGTGAATGTTTTCTTCACAGTGGGAGAGACTCCTTTCTTTCTTTCTTTCTTTCTT